TCACCTGAATGAATCGAGCATCCCCCTCGTCTGAGCTATACTCGAAACTCCTGAAAGGGGAAAAATTTAAGTATAAATAAATAAGTATAAATATATATATATATATTAAAAGGGAGTATATATAGGAGTACTACAGTGGTTATTCAGGAGGATACTAGGGTTACTAGGAGCTTAGACTGTACCTCATTCAAGACTTCCGGTGCAAGATTTCCTCCACCAAGTTGTCGGCTTCATGGATGTGTGTGGAAGTAGCAGCCAGAGTCGTTGAGGGATGCTTCGGTTTCTGTGGTTGTGTCTGTAGGTTTGAGTCTTATGATATACTGGATAAAGCGACTCCAAACTGGGAACCCCAAGCACGTAGTAAGAACGCAGTAGGACTATAAGGACCCTGGCAGGTATATGCCGATCATATCCTTACTATATTCTTGGGGTTTCCGGTTTGGGGTCCCCATCTCAGTCCTCAGGGACAGGGCAGCGGCGGAATTCAGAATTCAGGCACAATCCACCAAACTCTCATGAACCCCTCCCCAGAAAGCAATAATACCCCCTACGACCGTATCAGCCAGTATTTTCAGATAGCTGGGTAGGCCCCTGGGATGTTTAATATTTTCCCTAATGGCTTTAATAGGGGCCATATATACTAATATTTTTCAGAGGGTTTTAGGGGGCCAACCCAGATAGTTAGGACAATAGATGGGACGATTCACTATTTGGAGATGAATCCCCGCAACAATCATGGGTTCAAGCAGTACCCCCCTCGATACTACCCCCCCTTGGTTCCCCCCTTAATTAAGCTTATTAAGCCTAAATAAGCTTAATTAAGGGAGGAACCAAGGGGGGGGGTAGTATAGAGGGGGGTATTACTTGAACCCATGAAACAACCAACGAAGTATCAGAGGTGGTGGTTTGCTGCAGGAAGCTTGATCTTGTGGGGCAAGTACCTAGGGGAACAAGGGCTTGTACCTAAGACCATAGCATCTTTACCTTCTTTCTACGTATAAAAGTTTCTCAGAACAGCCTAAACCCTAACCTTAAACCCTAAATACTAGCATCACACACCACTCCGAAAGCCAGGGTTATAAGTTACAACTGTGGCCCGCCCGTGTGGGCCCCTAGTAGAGTCGAGGCCCTAAATCCTTTTGGTTCCTGTGGTGCATCTAGCATACATCAGAATGCACCGTTATTGGCCCCCTGCAGACCTCTACATAGGCTAAGAGCTCATGGCACCATGCTTCCAACCTTAAGTCCCTACACCCTAAACCTTAAACCGTACCACACCCTAAACCCTACACCCTAAACCTCAACCTCCCTGAACCCTCACCGGCCCGCTCACAGCTTGTCGCTGAGCCATTAGGATGCCACCAGCTTGTGCCTTCTCATCTAAGAAACCCAAAGCCAGGGTTCAGTTTGAAGGATTAGTACCCCCCCCACCCTCAAAACTAGGACCCGATAGCTATGATGTGAATGTATGTCATAATTGAGGTCCGAATTTTCAGGCTCGGGTTTGTTTTCCAAACTTCCGGATTATTTGGGGGTTCAACGTTTCCGGTGGAAGGCTTTGCGCAACATGTTGCATCTTGAGTGTGACCCAGCCATACACGGTGGATTTTGGTGCCCCGCAGAGCCTGAACTCTAGTAATCTGAAGGGTTTAGGGTTTAGGGCTAGCCTGTGACCTGAATCCGTATCTGGGGGTGTCCTGGAAACAGTTGCTTGCATATTCTAAGTCCCCAGAAGACAGCTAAAACTAATGAAAGGGAGGGTTCCAGGGCAGATGGAAGTATGTGCAACGCGCTGGCCCATGGAATGGTAGTCCATATATGAGCTATAGTCTAAGCTCCTGGTATCCCCCTGAGCAACCTCCTTTAGTAGTCCGCTATATCATCCCGTATATAACGCCTTTTAAGGAGTGGCACTTTGCTGTCGGACTGTGCCTGCCCCAAGCCCCTAGGGTTTGGGATTTAGGGTTTAGGGTTTGGGTGACCTAATCCTATGTCCTAGATCTCTTCCCCCTACACATCCCGGCCCACTTTGGTTTCCGAAGCCGAACCAGAAACCTTAAACCAGAAAAACCATAAACCCTAAATGCCCCTACGTACGAATGTCCCTACTTACCTGTAAGCAAACCCTCTCAAATTACCCTAAACCCTCGCCCGAAACCTTCAACCCTAAACCCTAAACCCTAAAGAGCCATGGCTTTAACCTCCTTGCCGCCTCTTCGCCCGCGCCCATTGTCGCCGGGTGCAAGGTGGCCACGGCCGGCTCAGGTTCATTGGGCAAATTGTAGGACACGGGGTTTCCCAAAATTTTGGAACCCTTTTTGGGTGTCCTAATAGCAATGACTGTAGTATTTTGGGGTCTCGTTCAGGTCCCCTCATTTAGTTACCAAATCTCGGGACATAAATAGTAGGGTTCTAGGGTTTAGGGCTTTGAGAGTGGGCTTAAGCAGCGGTGAGGACTTAAGCTTTTTGGAGGTTTAGGGCTTGAGGGTCCAAGTACTCAATAATTGAGTACTTGGGATGTGGGTGTTAGACAATTCTAGAATATTGAGTAGTTGCAGCCGTGGGGAACGTCAGGGTTTAGGGTTTTCAAGGTTTGTGGGCTTGGATTTTCAGATTTAGATGGTATGTTGTGGGGTTGGCGCTTGGAGACAGGCTATCATCCAAGATCTCCCATGCCCGGCTTGTAGGGCTTGCGCCTTAATTCCTACCCCCACTGGCCATCCAGAGCGATGTTGAATACACTGACACATGGATAGTTGTCAAAATTATGGCCAATAACAGGTGCTGTATTATACTAGGGATCCAAAAAGGGACCCTAATTTTGACAACCACCCACACACCCTAAATCCCTGAACCCCCTAAACCCTAAACCCTAAATCCTAAACCCTAATCCCTAAACCCTAAACCCTATTAGTAATACCCTAAATCCCAGAACCCGACCCCTAAAAACAACTCCTCATCGACCATCAGGCTTTGCGTGGCTCCACCGCGCGCTTTGCTTCTGTCTGGTCCTGGCCCAGGACGGCCGATTTGCCTCCCGATTTTTGCTTGAAGGTTCGTGGGGCTTAGTAGCTACTTATAGCTGGGTTGGGTCATTCCCCCACCCAGTAACTGTCCTTAAAGGGGGCCTTATAAAGGGGCTATTATAATTCCTATTACCCCTTGTGGTAACTGTTACTGTAAGGGGGGAATAACCCAATTGCTGGGCTTATAAACCTGCTTAGAACCCTTTAACTTGACTTATGTAGGTTGCCCCCATCAGTTGTACGTAGTTACAGAGTCCCCACGGAATGAAAGAGTTTTGAAGGGGTCATAGGGTTCTAACGGCTTTTGGGTGTATGGTGTAGGGATTTGGGGTTTTGGGTTTGGGGTTTGCCGGTAAAGGGTTTGGGTTTTTGGGATTCAGGTTTAGAGATGTAGGGTTTGGGGATGAGGGGGAATGGTTTGGGGTTCAAGGAGCTAGGCTTAAGGGTTTAGGGTCTAGGGACTTAGGGTTTCAGAGTTCAGGAACTCAGGGTTAAGGGTTTAGGGATTTAGGGTTCAGGGTTGGGAACGAGGGGTTGAGCGACATGTTTTTTTTTGGCTGGGGGCTACATAGGGGCTACTATAGGATCGTAAGCTGGCGGTTGTTAGGGCAACAGGGGCTTCAGTTCTACAAAAGTAGACTGTGTTAATGTTGGGTTATATTATGTATCTCTTCCTTTTCTTTGACTGGGTTGCTGTTTAGAAGCTTCACTTCAGTTGCTATATTGCGGAAACCATATTAGTTACTGTATATACCCATTATGATAACTTGATTTAAGTTGCTTAACACCAGCCCAGTTGGGGGGCTGTGTACTGTAGGGAGCAGGGCTCGGTGTTTTGGACGTCGAGGGGTCGAAGTTGTGTTTTCTTTCCTTTTTTTTCTTGGATATGTACTGTAAATGGAGTGAACCTGTAATGATACCAAGTGCTTGGGTACAAAGGCCTTTTTTTGTGAGGTACAGTGGCTACTTGCAGATAGAGTTTAGGGTTTTCATGGAGTTGGAGACCAGGACTGAAGGGATCTGGGGGTTTTGGGACTTTTCGTCCCCCTTAAGTAGATAGAATATGGGGTATTTGGGGATCTTATTATAATATGCCCAAAGCCAAATTCTATTTACTTTAAGGGGGACTACAGGGGCTCGAGATTTTGGGTTCAGGATGTTGGGATGTGAGGTCCAGCGGATTTCAGGCTCCAGGGCTGAGGGTTGGCATTCAGGAAGTATGGTATCTGTTGGGGGGATATGGTGAGAGAAGTGCTTGTGTTCGAGATGCTACGCCAGGTGTTAGCTCTGGTGCACAATCCAAGGGTAACAATGGTAAGTCATAGCAAGTTGCCATGTCATTATCAGCCTAATGTGCTCGCTGCTTGCGAGACGGCATGAGGGAGTTTGGGGTTTAGGTTTGCTGTGAGGGAATGTGTGGGGTGTGCATCTATGGAAGCAATAAGATACGCTTATCCGAGCCCTCTACCGGTTGTCAAAAGTTCAGTACCTTTTTGGGTCCCTAACATAACACACCACGAATGTTTTGCGTAACCCAAAAGGGGCCCAGTCTCCATTATTGGAGGAGAATATCCCTACACCTTCTACCGTAAATAGTAGTTTCCCTGTGATTTTCCATTTTCTTTTGCAACTGATTCTCCATTATGGACCCTAAACCCTAAACACTAAGCCTGAAACAGGGAACCAGCCCTCAGTCTGGACTTCTCTCTGAAGCCTTGCAATCTGAACTCTCAAGCTCAAAGCGCTCAACGCGTGGCATGTTAGGCCCTCAAAACCTAAACGTACGGGTCGTTTGTAGGGAAGAAGGGAATATATTCTAAAGGGATTCTATTCCTTGTTTCTCTACTAACAACCTGTAAGCAAAAATCCGAACTCCAAAAACCTGACATCCGACCCCTCAATCCTAGCACTCTGAATCCCAAAGCTTATTCCTACAGCTGGAAATCCAACACCTCGAGAAATCCAAAGCCTCAGGCACATGCGGCAAACGCAGAGCGGGGGAAAGGCCTTGTCTTTCAACAGCTTTGAGCAAGGTTCCTAAACCTTAAACCCCGAAACCCTAAACTCCTAAACCCTAAACCCCTAAACCCCTAAACCCTAAAGCCTAAACCCCGAAGCCCTAAACCCCTAAACCCCTAAACCCCTAAACCGCGTGGGGCTTCCTGCTTTTTTGTCTGGTCCGTGGGGCTTTACAGGGTTCATGTGAGCTATAGTCTAAACTGCTTAAAGGGGGCTATATATATAGGAGACTATAGAGGGCTATACAATTTAAGGTTTCGGGTGCAGGGTTTAGGGTGCAAAGGGGGTTCTATAGGGGATTATATAGGGTTTAGGGTCTAGGGGCTAAACTCCTTAAAGGGCGATTATATAGGGTTCAGGGTTTGGGGTTTGGGGTTTAGGGTTTAGGGTCTAAACTCCTTGAAGGGGGCTAATTAAATAGGTTTATGGTCTGAAGACCTTAAAGGAGGTTATATAGGAATTATATATATGGGGTCTAGGGTTTGGGGTTTGGGGTTTAGGGTTTGGGTCTAAACTCCTTAAAGCGGGTGATCTAGGCTTTCTCAGAAGTAAAAGGTCACGTTGAGGGTGTCAAGCGCTAGTGAGGATACATAACCAAGCGGATTTTTGGGGTCAGGGTTAGAGTACACTTAGACTATCCCACGTACCTAATATGTGCTAGTTGAAGCTGTGCGATTCATGCGTGTTACTCAGCGCACCACGACACCCCTTACAGCTCCCACGGCCATGTTCCCACCCCCTGCCCAAAACCCCAAACCCTGTAAACCCCATGAGCCATCCCTGTACAGCCCCACAACAATGCCTATTCTAGCACAGTAGTTTTCATTTCTTTTGCATTGTATACTATATGATCTCAATGCATACCAAACCCTAAACCCTAATCCATAAACCCCAAGCTACCCTTAAAACACCCAAGCCCTAAACCCAAAACCCAAAACCACGAATCCTAAATCCAAAACCATAAGCCCTAAGCTCAACTGACAGGAACTTCTCTCAGCCCTGCAAACGGATGGCTACATTCGTGTAGACATCGATGCGGCTGAGGACGAAATCTTAGTGTTTAGGGATTTAGGCATTGAGGGATTAGGGGTTTAGGGTTTAGGGATTTCGGGATTTAGGGATTTAGGGGCTTGGGGATTTAGAGGCTTAGGGTTTAGGGATTTATGGGATTGGGGTTAAAGGGTTTAGGGTTCTAGGGCTTCTCTTTGGGCCTCATCCTCTCCCTCTAAGACTCAAACCTCTCTAGTGTTAAATGTTACCAGTACATTCTAGTCTACCAGAATGTTCGGATATAAGGAAGCTTGGGCGTTTTGTTGTTCGGGGTGATTATCATCTAAACCTTAAACCCCAAACTTTAGGCCGCAAACCCTGAACCCACAACTAATCATATAAATCCCCATGATTTCATTTCATCTCGGCTGTAAGTGTAGTAGGCTCACTGCCAGACAGGGTCGGAGCTTTAGGGCTTGCATGAAAGAAGCCATGTACCACTTAGGATCCCCTAAGCCCTTAACCCCCCAAAATCTTATAGAGCGAATGCTAGAGGATGTTTGAGCTTCGTCCATAGCGTGATACTACACCTATCACTTGGGCACCTAAGCTTGTGACCTAAACCTTAAACCGTCAACCCTGAACCAAAAACCTTGAACCCAAAACCCAAAACCCTAAAAGCCTAAATTCTAAACCCCTAAACCCTACAACCCTACAACCCTAAATCCTAAACACCTTAACCCCAAACCCCTAAACCCTTAACTCCTATCACCCTAAATCCTAAATCCTAAGCCCCTAAACCCTAAATCCCAAAACCTAAAACCCTAAACCCTAAAACCCTAAACCCTGAACCCTCAACGCTAAGCTGGTCCCTCATGAAGGTTTGACAGGACCATCTTGGCAGGTACGTTTCAGGATTATAGGGTTTCAGAATTTAGGGTTTAGGGTGTAGGGTTTAGGGTTTAAGGTCCAGGTTTTCGGGTTTACGGTATAGGGTCATATCGTTCCTCTCTGACGGTCCAAGTGCCCAACCGTTGAGACTTTAGCGTACCTAACCTCAATAACTATAAACGTTATCGCGCGCCCGCCTCGGCTGGCGGGGCGCGGAGCACATGAATAGCTACTGGCATGTAGTTGACACGTGGGGTTTAGGGTTGAGGGAGTAACCGAGGCAAGCCTCACTTCAGATGCATGCCTGTTCCAGCATTCATGGAGGGGGCTAGTCCGGGCTAAACGGAAAGTCCCCAAGTGCAATTCGCCGCTACTCCCCGGATCTTGAGTTTTTCCTGACCATAGAAGAAGGCGGTTGACCTACGCAGGGCCAGAAGGCAGACCCACCACATAGGAGTAGGTGTGAAGCGGTGGGAGCGCGCGGGGGGAGGAGGGGAGGTGGGGGACAGAGGGGATGGAGGGGTGATGGAGGGGGGGGGAGTGGGAGTTTGGCGAAGGGAGCGTTTTGGACGATTGGATACTTGGACCCTGAGGGTCTATCAGGTGACCACATATCATGGAGGACTTTGTTGAGAAGTAGTACATCTAGACACCGGAGATGATGGCCACGCCAGCTACTACAGGGGTCCACCCCAAACCCTAAATCCTAAACCACAAACCCTAAAGCCTAGATCCTAAACCCTAAGCCCTAAACCCTAATTATCGATATCTCGGTCCTGGATTCCTTGCATGTTGCAATTGTAGGGTGCCTCAAATGGCCATCAAGCTGATATGGGTAAAACTTCAGGCCCGTACACCACAAAACTGCTCATGAACCCCGGTATAAGCCTAGATTTCCATGTCACATTCCAGTTTCCTTTCCATTTGATTCCCCGCTATGGGGGGCTAACATGTCTAGACCCTAAACCCAAAGCCCTGAACCCTGAGCCCCATACTTATTCATGAAATCTTCCAAGCCCAGAGGCTTACGTGGTCCTTTGGGTCTAGAGCCTAGAGTTTGGGTTTGGATTGGGAAGGTCCGGTGGATATTAAACTTCCTGGTTAGGCCTGGGGTAGACCCCAAATCGACTCCAAACCCTTTGAAATATAGTGGAATTATGAGCCTACACCCTACTAAACCCTAAGGTCTTGCCTCTGGCTAGCAAGGAAAGAGGGAGTAGATCCTTATCGCAGTTCCGTATATACTTCCCCGAAATATATGTGTTTCCCCGGTTTGTTTTCCATTCCTTGCTTTCCTGCTAGCCATGTAGCTCCTACATAAAGCTCAGTTTCCATCGCTTTTCCTTCAAAAAGCTGCTGCCGCGGGACTTAGGACAAGTTACCATTAACAGGAAACAACATTACGACATGTCCGTATCATGGCACCTGAACCCTAAGCCCTGTAACCCTTCTGAAGGCAAGCCCTTATGGTAACTTACTTTAGGTCTCCTTAATTAAATCGGGGGATTCGATTTTCGACCGCCAGAGTATGAAAATCCTTATAATAGGCAGCCTCGAAAAACGTGTCCTTTATTCTGGACCCCCCCCCACCCATAATCCCACAAAATCCAAGAAAATTCAATAAACTCCCATAAAACCCAAAACCCCAAACCCCTAAACCGTAAAACTGCAAGCCAGAAAAAACAAGTAGTACCCAAGCCCACACGTAGCCCCGCCACCTCCAAGCCCACGAAGCTGTAGAACCTGACGGATCTTAGGTGCCTCAGAAATGGGAGTTTCTCACAAAGGGGGGGCCCTAGGGACCCCAAGGGGTATAGAGGGATTATAAGGGGATTATATAGGGCCCCCTTAAGGGATTATATAGGGGTGATATTGAGACATACCCAAATGGGGTTGCTGTTAAGGAACTTACATGAGCTATAGTCTGAACTCTTTAAAGGGGGGTATATGGGGGATTATATAGGGGTCTACTATCGGGGTTATTAAGGGGGATACTAGGAGTTTAGATTATAGCTTACATAAAGTGACTATAGTATGGGTACATAGTAAATAATGGGGTGTCCCTTTTGTAGTAGCTTCATTTCCCTGAATTCCTAACAGCAACCTGGTAAAGGGGCTACAGATCCTCGAAAGGGGATTATTAAGGGATGATTGGTTCAAAGTTCACGGGTAGGTATAAACACGGTTATACAGATATAGGTTATAACCGTGGTTCTCTGACTGCTTGTCGCACCACTAAATGAGCCCCGGCCTCTGACCACGAATTTCGCATGAGCTTTCCAAAAGTGCCGCGTGTCAGGAGGCAGTGCTGGTCAAGGCGGGACAGCTCGAGTATCCTAAACCCTAAACCTTAGGCCCTAAGCCCTAAACTAAACCCTAAACCGCATGCCTTCTCTGCGATTAACGGCTCAGGGTGCACAATGTGGCCTTTGTCCAACCTTCTAAACCCTAAAACGTGATGATCATAAATGTTCAGCACAAATATTTTCAGACAATAGCAAGGTATTATTGTTTAAACCGTTTTTTTCCTCAATAAGGCCCTGTGCCGTCTACCCTGAAGTGCTTTTCAACCCAAGTCCTTGCATTCAGCTCCTGAAGGTTTAAAGTTTGCGATCTATCATCCCCCTGAAGTAGATAGAATATGGCTTTGAGTATATTTTAGTACTACTTAAGGGGGACTATAAGGATTCAGAGTTTAGGGTAGGGTCTAGGGCTAGGGTTTAGGTCTAGGGTCTAGGGAACACGATTTTGGGTCTAGCGCTTAGCCGCAGCTCTATGCCCGCAATGCAAGAATCATGATGCCCAAACCTTAGCCCTAAACTCGACGCTATCATCCGCAGCCCCTAACTTATTTGCAAATGGGGAAGTGGATCCCTATCACCATCCCCTATAACTGTACCTACATTCCCTCCTCCTCCTCCTAACAGCACCAGCGTGTAAATGCTAGCCCCCGAACTCGAAGCCCTGTGTCTGGACAAACTGAGCCTCCAGACTGAGCCATTCCCACTTGGGTTTGCTGAGTTGCTGTTAAGGATTCTATATTTACTCACTATAATTAGGAAACCCGTTTACTATTTGCTACGTACCCATAACATGGTGACTTACTTTTATGTTCCTTAAGAGCAACCCGGTTTAGCTTTTAGGGTTTGGGGATTTGCCTTCTAGAATCTTGTTTTGGGAACCCCACATGCGCATAACAAAGCCTTAGTGGGTCATGCCTTCTTGCTAGAAACCATGGAAGTTTTTCACCTTGAGAGAGGCACCGCCGGCTGCTGACTGACCGCCCCGTACGGTCACGGTTTAGGGATCAGGGTTTAGGGGCTTAGGGTTTCTTAAGACCAAACACGATCCTTCATATTTATCGGCTATTTTCAAGACCCTAAACCCAAAGCCTAAGGAGTGTCGAGATTTAGGGAGTGGAGCCGGATGAAGCGGGATTAATCGGGCAAGCGGGATTAATCGGGCATGAGGGAACGGATCTTTCTGTAGTTATCTCGCTATTAGTCTTACTAACATCCCTGATGATGTTTTCGAGAACCTTAAACCCCTCGCTCATTCAGACCTGGGAGCCCTAAACCCTAAACTAGGCACCAGGGCAAGAGCAGTGTTTCCGGCAGGCGCTTGAGGAGTTCGCCGAGCGCCGCTCGTTTCGGTATCCGCCGATACCAGGCAGACTTTACCCAAGAACTGTGTTCAGGGTTTGAGGTTTAGGGTTCCAAATCCTACGCCCCAACCGCATGAACCCCGCAGCTGCTTGTTCTGGAAATAACTCCTGACTTCAAGTATACCAACTGATGTACTCTTTTGTTTTTATCCATCAGCGCACGTATAGACATAGCACTGTGCGCATAGTCTGATATCCGCCTGCTTACGTTGCCAAAATCCATCAGTGCAAAGATGCAAACAAACTAATTGTAACTTTTTCGCGCGCAACTTTGCACGTTTACTTCCCGAAAGTTCTACCACGATGTCTCTCGCATCCTACAGCTTGTGCCCTGAGCAATTAACTTTACATGGCAAGGATGGAGGTCTGAAGGTCCAAGCCTTGCATCTCTAACCCTGAAGCTTAAACGCTAAGTCCCTAGACCCTAAACCCGAAACCCTAAACTCTGAATCTCTGAACCCTAAATCCAAAACCCCGGACAGGTAATTGCTTGATGCGATGACCCAAAATGAAAAATGGCAGTTTCCAACATGAGGGGGACCCCAATGTAGATCCCCGCATACTGCCATCCTCATTATGGGAACCCCCGAATGGTACCGGGAAACCCCCAAAGCTTGTCAAACCCTAAAACCCCCCCCCTTCTTCCGATTGGAGGATAGTTGTACGAAAGCTTTTGTGCATAGACTTGGGACCTTGGATTGCGACCCCCAGACGGACATGCAAGCCCTAAGCGTTAAGGGTTTAGGGTTTGGGGTTTAGGGTAGCCCTGCACCCTGAGTCTTGGAATCGAAGCCCTAATCTACCGGGATCTCTTCTACTTTTTGGGGTATTGGATTTCTCATATTTATGTAAAAGGATCGGTTTTTCTTTCTAGGTTGCGGTGGGCTAAGCTTGCCCTGAAACATAAAACCCTAGACCCTAAGCAAGCAAGGCGCCGCTACTGCTTCCGCAGCGCCACCTACGATGCCCCGGCGTTGCGCTCGAGGGTGTTTGAGGGCTGTTCTAGTCTTGAGGGTTTGAGCTATAGGGTTTGGGGTTCAGTGGTTAAACTTTACGTAAGCCCAAAACCTTAATTAAACCTTAAATCTAAATCCTAAATCCTGAACCCCGGAGACTACGGTTTGGGTGTTTAGGGTGCATTTTTTTTTTTGAGGAAGGCCCGCAGTGGGTACGCATGGGATCCTCCTAGTTGGAGTGCAAAGAGGGACAGGGCGGAGGGCTTAGGGGTATGTAGACCCCCTAAACCCTAAACCCTATGAAGTCTAAACCCCAAACCCTATGAAGTTGAAGTCTTGCAGAGATCCAAGGAATTCAAAAGTCATGGCTTCATCAGAAGTCCAAGGGCTAGACCAGAAGTCCAGCCTTGATCCCAAAGCCACTAAGAAGGCTTTGGTAACCCCCTTCCCCCAAACAAAGATCCTGGTATAGTTATGATTGTTATGAGGCCCCAAGGGTGTTTGGGACTGGGGTCACCAAGCTCTTACAGTCATAAACCCTAGTCCCGGAACTTTAGGGATAGTTTCATGACGTTTACTAAAGGAGCACTTGGAACTAATACGTCCCTCCATGCAATTCCTCAAGGGTTCCCTGAAATGTTCAGAAGCCATTTTTACGGTTTCGGGTTTGGGGTCCAGGGTTTAGGGTTTAGGATTTAGGGTTTAGGGTCTAGGTTTAGGGTTTAGGGTCACTCTGGGGTGCATAATGGGTAGTGCACAGGGTGGAGTCCAAGGCAAGTACTGGCAAGAGAGAAACGGCGTTGCCTGTCCACTTTTTGGTTAGTCTTCCCAGAAAAATCTCCTAAACCCCTAAACCCTACCCTAAACCTTGGGTACTGCCCCCACCCATATTAGAGGTCCTATTAAGGGCTATACATAACCATATTATTCTTGTTATCCAACTGTTACTGAGGGGGGGCAATACCCAACCTCAACCGTAAATCCCGTACCCTAAATCTCCTAAACCCTAAACCGGGCTAAACTCTGGATAGACACTCAAAGAAAGGCATCTCTCCCCCAGAGCCAAAAGTTTGGGTCCCATGTGGGATCCACAGATCCACTCGCCTTAGGAATTTCTAAGCAAGGGGATCCCTGTGGGCTTATGGTTTATAGAGTTTAAGGTTTAGGGTTCAGGGTTTAGGGTTTAGGGTGGGCTTAGGGTCTAGGGTTCAGCGTTGAGGGTTTAGGAGTATGCGCACTTTTGCGAACACGTGAAGAACCCCAAGAAAGCAGGATATCATGTGTTCAGAGCCATGAATCCCCGTCACCTACTACTAGAGCCCCAAACCCTGATGAAACATACATCCCACATAGTACCAGTATGTATTAGGGGGAATTTTGTTAGTTGAGGGTGGGGATTAGAGAGCCATCATCCACGGTCCAGTATGATTTTCATAGACTTTGGCTAGCGGTTCTTATATGTACTGTGAAGGGCCGCTCGGTTTTATGGGGAGGATATGATAGTCGTATGGTAGTTTCTTCGCAAAATAGGGGGACCCCAATAAACCCTAAAAAAGCTATAAGCTTATTCAAGGGCACCCCCAAAAAGGGTCCCCCAATTTTAGGAAACCCCCCATATACATAGGACCCTGAGGGATTGGGTTTGCCGCCCGAGCAACGACTTTGCGCATGGGTGTGCGTCCCCAGACGCGTGGAAGGACCTCGAAAGTAGATGCCCCTGAAGGGTTGGTGGAATGTTCCTAGCAATTCTTCTAGAAAAGTACAGTATGGGTTACCGCATTGGAGGCTCTGCTTTCCAGATCCTACCTGGGGCGTCAGGACAGTATGCGCCAAATTAAGGTCTTGCGAGAGCACTTGGCTCCTCACTGAATGCAGGCGTACATATACACACATTGAAACGCATAAATATATATATGTGTGTATATATGTATCTGTGCACGCCGAAACATGGGGTGGCATCATTTTGGCACATGCGCCCACTAGTCATGAGGCCGTTTGCCCGGTGTTTCGATCTGCTGTACAGCGCGGGCCTGAGCATAGGGTTCAGGGTACCCGAAACACGAAATTCTAGCCCCTCCACCCTAAACCCTAAATCCTACACCCTAAACCTTTCGCCCGACGCCCTACACGCTAGACCCTCAACCCTAAATCCTACACTCTACACCCTAAACCTTACCTACACGCTAAGCCCTGCACTCTAAACCTTCCGCCCTAAACCCTACACCCTAAACCCTAAATCCCGAAATGTGAGATTAGGGTGCCAGGCAGGCTCCTAGGATCTGCCAGAGTAATAGGGTGAGGATTACAATCCTGTATGACCTTAAGCCTAAACTCCTTAAAGTTTTTTTTGGTGGGGGTTATATAGGTTTAGGTTATGGGTTTAGGGTTTCAGGTTTAGGATCTAGGGTTTAGGATTCAGGGTTTAAAGTGAAAAAGGGGACTACATAGGGGAGCATTATAGGGCTTATTAGGAGGGATACTCGGAGTTTAGACTATAGCTCGTATGACCTTACTAAGCTACAGTATCATAACTTCCACGGTATAGCGTGCTGAGGGTCATGAATGATTTTATCTTGAGTATCGCAGTATCAACGTTAGGCACCAATCTGGGTAAGGGAGAGAATGTGTACTCTCCCAGTTCCTTCATGGGCGCTCCTGAAAGTTAAGAGTTTAAAGTTTAGGGCCTTGGGTTTTAGGTTTAGGATTTTGGCTGATAAGACAGCGCTAGGCAATGGTAGGAGCAGAGCCCTATGCGTAGGTTAGGGTTTCGGTTGCAAAGAAAATCCTTGCCAAGTGACTCCATAGACCTTAAACTCTAAAACCCTAAACCCTAAACCTTAAATTCTAAACCCTAGAACCTAACCCTAAACCTTAAACTTCCAAACCTTAAGCCTTATACCCTAAGTCCTGAACCTCAAACTGTCAGGTGGAAAGGCCTTTTGACAATGCGGCAACGCACAGGTCACGTGAAAGTAGCGCGAGCACAAAGCCCTGTGAAGCAATACTTGTTGAAACAGTTAAGGGTTTTAGGGCTTAGGGTTTAGGGATTTAGGGTTTAGGGATTTAGGGTTTAGGGTATGGGGTTCAAGCCCCTTTTGGACCTCCAGTACCGGATGGAAAGAGGCCAGACCGGGGTGAGTGTTACCTTGTGGTTTTGAAACATCGTCAGGCTTCCCTCTGAGCTTGACACGGCTAGTAAGCCTATGCGTGACCCCAATTAGCCCTTCAGATTCCCAGCCTCACCCTTTTTGAGAAACGCCGTTAGGGTTTAGGGTTTAGAGTTTAGGGTTAAGGGTTACGGGTTTAGGGTTACGTTGGCTGTGCCTTTCTTCCCTCTCTTGGGATGTGGCAAGCTGAACGAGAACATCCCTGAAGGTCCAAGGTACTCAATGTTCACATACTTCCCCCAAGCCTCTACTATGATCACTACATCTTGGTATTACCCAGATCCCAGGTACTCGAGCCTTGGGTATTTGGACCCTAAATGTATTTTGGCACATCTAAGGGCTCCGGCTACAGGCGACCCTGCTGAAACTCTCAACCCCTGGCGATAGAACAGATGGCACGCGATTTTTTAGGGTTGAGGCTTCAGGGATCTAAAGCCTAGCCAAAGGCCCTAGGTGGTGTAGGGTTCAGGGTACAGGGTTCCAAGCTATAGCCACGCAGTGTCCCCATAGTCTTGTATGGTTAGCATGATAGAAGACAGTAGTGTTATTTTGTAATATATCTACCTACCCTGGACCCTAAGCCTAAGTAGCAGAGATGTTGAATCAGATCCGCAAATCTCGGTCCATTCAGCGTAGGGAAACCTTCCCCCCATGCCCACACCCCAACCGGCAGCATCAGCAGCCACAGGGTTATTTAGGTATGTGAGGGATGTATGGGGTCTAGGGTTAGGGGGTTCGGTACATCTTCCTCTTGTGTCATGTGAAGCCTCTTTTGCGGCACTGTTCTTGTGGTGGACCTTCAGCTTAAACCTTAACCGCACATCTGGAACTCTAAAGCACAGCCGGAGATTCCGAAACCAAAAGACCCGGGCCGTACACCAAACACAGAACTTACCTACACCCCAGCCTATCTCCTATCATATAAATGGACGGAATCCTATACCCCAAACGCCTGAATCCTAAGCTTCTACCCCTCCAGCTCTAAGTGTCTGCACCCCTAAACTTCCGGACTTCAAACTTAAGGGTTTAGGGTTTAGGGTCGCAAGGTCAGTATACCCGCCTCCAGCCAGTTTCTCAAAAAGATGCCTATACAACGCTTGAGGGCTACCCCCATACTCTTCAGAATCCCCATGCCGCGGGTCTCCACACTCTGAACCGGACCTTCCTAAACGCTTGAGCCCTAACCTAAGCCCCAGAACCTTAAGCCTGAGCCTTAATCCCTACACCGCAAACCCTCTACCTTAGACCGAGACTCTAAACCCTAAACCCTTAACCCTACCCTCCTTAGCCCCTATGTTCAGAAGCTGCCATGTCGGCTATGAAGCTTTTGCCATGGCCAGTGGCGACCTCCTCATGCTGGCGGGGGGAGGCCCCAGGGTTCAGCGTGCGTGGTTTAGGGTTTATGGTTTAGGGTTCAGGGTTCAGGGTGTAGGGTTTAGGGTGATAGGGTTTAGGGTGTAGGGTTTAGGGTTCAGGATTTTCGCTTGGAGGCGGCTTCGTGTAGAAACCAAAGTTGTATTTCCTCATAATGCTTGAAGAAGTATAGCATAATAGGCCCCCGGAGCTGCATTCTTATTGAATAGGCTCCTACCTTACTCATGCTTAAGTAGTTGGGAATAAGGGAATGCGCGGTAGAGATTTTTATGCACGAAACCCTGAACCCCCACATATCCCTACACCCAAATTCACCACATCTATGTGGGGGGGGGGGGGGGGGGNNCAAGCCCGAAACCCAAAATCCAAAACCCTGGATCCTAAATGGGGGGTTGAAGGCTATGTACCAGGGGTAGGTGTGAACTTTCTTTCAACCTTTTAGCATAAATGTTATCCTTGATTTTTATACAGATGTTATAAAGACATACAAACCTACCTTAGCCAAGGAACGCTTTAGGGCAAGGCAGTAGTAGTGAACATGTCGCGGCTTATGAGCTGGAAAAGGGTTTCGGGGTACATGATACTGCACCCTAATCATGGTGGGTTTAGGGTTTAGAGGTTTGTTTCAGAAATCTAGTATTAGTAGTCCTTCACCCCTCACACAACCTGATTACCTTGATGCGGGCCTTGCATGGGTCTAGTGTGGGAAACTCGTTTGGTAAACATTTCTCAAATACCGAGAAAGCATAAGGGGCATTCGGATCTTTGTTGCCAAGGGGTCCTGATTTTTTGCCTACCACGGTCCGAGCCGAGTCACGACACAACATCAAGTATCAATGAGGAGAACCCACAAGACTATTGTTGATACTAAAAATCCTGCATGACCCTAACATACCATAATACCATAATGCCCAAGGTGTAAGGTACTTAGGGTCATGCAGGATTTTTAGTATCCACCGTATTAATGCCAGTTTTGCAGGGGCTCCAGGCCTTGCATTAGTAGTTTAAGTCGTGATACGAAATAATAAAATAGACATGCGGTGAATGGCACAAACCTAGATTAGTATTCCACAGGGTACACGGGGTGGGGCAAGATTCCCTCCATCAATTTTGGAATGTAAGGGCTTAGCTCTCCTTACGCGTTGAGCACTAAACACTGAGTTTTCCTTTCAGTGTTTAAGCCATATATCTAAGCCTTAAAACTAGCCCTGAAGTCTAGACCCTGGAGCTTAACCTTTCCAGCCCTCCTTCCTAATTAATTAGTATCCTACACTTTAAGGCATCCATCCACAATCTTTCTGTCCATTTGCCCTAAGCCCTAACCTCAAACCTCAATTCCTGGCAGTATGAAAGCGCGTTCCACTGTTGCCTGGGACCTGCCTGGGGCATCCCACGCGCGAGGGTGGAAGGGTGGCGGCCTAAGATTGGTCTTTCCTGGGTTGAGGGTTTAGGGCTGAGGGTTAGGGTTTAGGGTTTAGGGCTTAGAGTTTAGGATTTAGGGTTTAGGGCGACCTCATGCCAAATGACGCTTGAGATAGAAATTGTGCTAAATCTTTTGCTTGGTTTCAGGTTCTGAAGCTGCTGCAAAAATAGCCAGGGTCTGTTATCATACTAGGTGTGCTACTGTGGGGGGAATGTTCTGGCGACCATTGCCATACAGGTGTCACGGTTCAGTGTGTGGGGTTTAGGGTTCACATAGAGTAGCGGTTGTACCGAATTTAAATTATTTTGCTAGGGTATTCGGTTGCTCTGGGTGTTTTGGGTTCTGGGTTCAGGCTTTGTTTCGTAGTTCAGCCTCCTGTTCCAGTATGCGGGGCTTGAAATAAAAGCTGTGCGGCATTGCGATTCAAGTCTTGCAGTTTGTGTGTGTGTGTGTGTGTTTGTGTGTGTAAGAATCTTTCCGGTGCGCGGGTTCGTGATCAAGTTGTGGGTACTCAGGGTTAGGGCATTTCAGGCTTAGCCTGAGGGATTCCGCTTTGCTGCTTAGAGTCCATGTCTTTTAGTAGATCGCGTTTCTCCCGGTAAGTTTCCTGGTTCCTCCTGGCTGCTTGACGGGATTTTGGTTTTGAATTTCGCCTTTGAATCCGGCTCAGGCGTCCCCCTATAGCTTGCCCATGAAAAGGAAAGTCATACCCCAAATGCTCAAGTTTGTGTTGAACACTCGAAGAATAGACCATCATGGTCCGAATGCATCCTACACCCTAAACCCTAAATCGCAATTTTCCGGGATTCTGCAGATTCCTTCCGGTTCGCCAGGATTCAAGTGGTTGACTTTTTGACAGACCCCAGTTTCCATGTGAACTACAGTCTAAACTCCGTCAAGGGGGTTATATAGGGGATTATCTAGGGGATTAAATAGGGGATTGCTATAGTATAGGGGTTATCAAGGGAGATACTGAGAGTTTAGACAATAGCTCATGTGATTTTTCATGTTCATCTGATTCTCCATTATTTGAGTAATATGCCGAAGCTCTCGCTGGA